TTCCATCGTTTTGCTATTGTGAACAATGCTGCCATGAACATAGGTGTGCATATGTCTATTCGAGTGACGACTCTTATTTCTCTAGGATATATTCCTAGGTCTTCACACTTTTTTTAACCTGACTTTTTTCTATAAAAATAGAATATTAATTATCAACTCAGGATAAACTACAATTATTTCTCATAAGACAGAATAAGTATGTAATTCTTACCCTTTAATTATCGATATTCAGAGAAAACAATTACAGTAATAATCTTCAATAGGGACAAATTGTTCTCTCTATCTCTCTCTACCTCTCTGTATGTCTCTCATTCCTAAGGATTTAGAGATTTTTATTTATTCAATGTGTTAGAAATTATTGTAGTCTTTATTCCTTTTGATGCTCAAACCTACCTACCAAACTGTTTCCTTTGTCCTTTGCATATGCACTCATAAGTCTTTGAGTACTTTCGTGCTCTCTGGCACAATTTGATGTCCAAAGCTAAAAAGTTCTTTCCCCCTCCCAGATCCAGAATTATCCTTCTCTCCTTTTGGCAGGTAATAGTATTTAGTAGCTGACATGGATTGAATTGCATCCCCCCAAAATATGTGTATCAATTTGGCTAGACCATGATTCCCAGTGTTGTGTGATTGTCCACCATTTTGTGGTCTGATGTGATTTTCCTATGTATTGTAAATCCTAACTCTATGATATTAATGAGGTAGAATAGGCAGCAGTTATGTTAATGAGACAGGGCTCAATCTACAAGATTGGATTTTGTCTTCAGTCAATCACTTTTGAGATTTAAAAGAGAGAAGCAAGCAGAGAGACAGGGGAACCTCATACCACCAAGAAAGCTGCCCTGGGAACAGAGCATGTCCTTTGGTCCTGGGCTTCCTGCACAGAGAAGCTCCTAGTTCAGGGGAAGATTGATGAGAAGGACCCTTCCTCCTGAACCGACAGAGAGAGAGAAAGCCTTCCCCTGGAGCTGACGACTTGAATTTGAACTTCTAGCCTACTAGACTGTGAGAAAATGAACTTCTCTCTGTCAAAGCCATCCACTTGTGGTATTTCTGTTACAGCAGCACTAGATAACTAAGGCACTAGTCAGGAATTGGGTAGGAGAGGTACTTCTTCTATGGAAATCATTGTTTTTGACTCTTCCAGTGAACAAAGAGAGAAAAAAAAATTTTTAAATCATTAGTTCATGTTGGTACTTCTAGTTCAAATACAGCTTTACAGAGTTTTTATCCAGCTCCTTTGACTTTTACATTTTAATTTCCCTTACATTTTAATATCACATTTTCACACAATCTGACCCATTTCTGCCTTGATATTCTACAGGTGGAATGTCATCCTTATCTCAACCAGAACAAACTGCTGGATTTCTGCAAGTCAAAAGACATTGTTCTGGTTGCCTACAGTGCTCTGGGATCTTCCCGAGATAAAAGATGGTAATGAGGACATTTGAGTGCCTTCTAACTTGGGGGGTCATCTTCTGGCACTATGTCAGACAATGTTCTGCTGCTATTCATAAGGTTTTCACTGGCTAATTCTTTTCAGAAGTAGACTGCCAGGTCCTTCTTCCTAGTCTGTCTTAGTCTGGAAGGTCAGCTGAAACCAGTCCACAAGGGGTGACCCTGCTGGTATTTGAATACCTGTGGCATAGCTTCCAGAATCACAGCAACATGCAAGCTCCCCCAGTACGACAAACTGACAGACACATGAGGGGTCAAGCACTAGAATTTGCATTTCTAACACGTTCCCATGTGACGTAGATGATGCTGGTCCAGGGATCACATTGGGAGAACGACTGGTCTAGAGGGGACAACCTTAGTCTGTTTCAGAAGCCTCCTGACAAAGTGAAAATTCAGCCTCATGTGTTCAGCATTTCTGCATTTCCTTCCAGGGTGGACCAGAGCTCACCCATTCTCTTGGATGATCCAGTTCTTGGTGCCCTAGCTAAAAAGCACAAGCGAACCCCAGGCTTGATTGCCCTTCGCTACCAGATACAGCGTGGGGTCGTGGTCCTGGCCAAGAGTTGCAATGAGGAGAGGATCAAAGAGAACATGCAGGTAATGAGCAGGTCTGTGGGCATCTGGGAAGCTAAGTTATAACCTTCACAGATATCCTTCAATGTAAGGCTCAAGACAACTTAGGGCCATGTTGATTTCCCTGGCATTTCCCATGCACATATGCCTTATATGTGTTCACTAGGGTTTTTTTTTCTTCGTGTACAACAACAGAGAGGCAGCATGGCTGGATGGAAAAGGACTGGACAGAAATCAGAGATTTGGAGCCTAGCCTTCCCTGCAATTTAGTCTGTAACCCTGTGCAAAAAGCATATAATTTTCTTCAGTTATAAAAAGAGTAATTGGATTAGGTGATTTTTCAGTCTCCAATACTCTAGGATTCTTTTGCCCCAGGAACTATTTGAAGGCTCTGAGTCACACCCTCTCCATATGTGTCCACCTAACCAGACACAGTGGATGATCCCCATCTAACCTACAGGGCCTTTGAATTGTGAAGACCAAGGTCCTGAACAATCTCTTCCTCCCTGAGTAACTACGGAAATAGACCCTATTCTTAGGGAAACCTAAAATGTTATCTGGTTAATAAAATATTTTTTTAGTTTATATTGCATAAAAGATATAGAAGGAAAATTAAGTCTCCCAACCTGTCCCTCAGTCCCCAATCGCCCAATCTTCCTCTCCATACCAATCTCTGTTGGCCTTTTTCTGTATAACTTCCCAGATATTGCCGACATGTAAGAGTATATATGCTCTATAAAAATTATTGCAAGCCACACAGACTGGTATAACATTACTTTTAAATGTTGATTTCAGAGACACAAGTTTTAACTTTGATCTGAGAAGATACACACTTTCCAAGTCAAGCAGGAGCTGTCAGTATGAGAATTGTGTCAATTGAGTAAACTTGCTTGCCACAACTTTCTAAAACGTGAGCTGTATTACAAACATAAGAGTGTATAAAATATTATCCATAGTTAAAACTATAAAAATAAGCTGAACACTTGAGTGCCATTCAGGTTATGAAATTGCACATGACACCTGTCTGAAGCTCACTGATCATTTCTCCCTCCACTGGGGTTATCCATTCTTCTAACTCTTGTAATAATCAATTGTTCCTTTGACTGTTTTCATAGTTTTCCTACTTAAGGGTATATCACTTAATATCCTTTTTAATCTGCCTATTTTAAAACATTGTGTAAGTGGAATTGCACTCCATTTCTCCATAATTTGTTTCATTTGGCCAACATTAAGTTTGTGAGATTCATTCCTGTGATGCAAGCAGCTGTAGTTTGTTCACTTTTACTTCTGCATAGTCTTACATTTCATGAATATGTAATAATTTAATTATTCAACTACTGTTAGGGGCATTTGTGTTTTTTGATAATTTGTCTTCTTGTTTTTGCCATTTGAATAACGCTGCTAGAATCATTCTTGTATGTAGAGGGGAGGAACTACATGGGTCACATTGCAAAGGGTGTGGATACAGGAAGTTGTGAAGAATTGAGAACATTTTTATAATCAGTCTACCACATTTATATATTCCAGATTATAATCTTTGGTCAGACTTAGATATATTTGTTGAATGTCTTTTTTCGGTTTTTTAATAAATTGTGCCTTGTTTTTTCATTGTTGTTAGGGTATATTTTCATGAACAAAAGTTCTTACTCTTAATGTAGTCAAGTTCATCATACCTTTCCTTTGTAGCAGATAATTGTGTCCTTTCCTGCATTGACTTATTGACAATATTCTCCTGTATTATCTTGCAAAGTGTTATAGTTTTTCCTTCCAAATTTGGGTCTATAATTCACTTGGAATTGATTTTTAGTACTAGGTGAAATAAGAATAGAAATATATATGTACGTATATTTTTAAATGGATGTCCAAATAACCCAGAACCAATTATTTAAAAGTCCATAGTATCCCAAAGATCTTCCTTGCCAATTTTATCATATATCAAATGTCCATAAGCCTGCGTCTGGCCTCTTTCTTCTATTCAATTGTCCTACTTATCATTCCGTATTGTCTTGATAAAATTGAAAAACAGGTCTTACTGTCCAGAATGGTAAAATATTCTCTCACTCCTTCTTCTTTTTTAAGAATGTCTTGGTTATTCTTTCTATTTTGTTCTTTTATAAAAACCTTAGCATCATCTTACCAAGTTCAAAATAAATAAGGAGAGGAGGGCCAAGATGGCAGAATAGTCAGATGCTTCAGATAGGTCCTCTTACAACAGAGACCCTAAAAAACAACTGAATCAATTATATATGACAATCTAGGAGCCCTGATCATCAAAGACAAAGTTGAGGAGTCGGACTGAGTTGCAGGGTGAGGGAGACACAGTTCAGAAGCAATAAAGAAGTGCCAGTCCCGAGGTAGCCGGCACCCTGCAGGCTGGGCCAGCCAGTGCACTTGGGCTGAGGCAAGCAGTAGCAATTGGGAAGTGTTTCACCACGTCAGGAGAGACCGGGTGGCAGAGAGTCTGCATGAGCCTCCGGAGCCAGGGGGAAGCTGTGCTGGACCTGCGGAAGTTGAGTGCAAAGTCTAACCTACTGTGTGGGGTCAAAATAACCCCTCCCCTCCAAGACTTTTGCAGTGGAGAAGTGCCACTTTCCCCTCACCCACCGCCCTTCCCACTCTGCTCTGACACCAGTTCGGCAGTATTCAACGATTATCACGCCCCCTAAGCTGGAAACTCAGTACTATCTGTACCCAAACCGGTCATGTACCTTCAAAAAATTGCCACGTCCCCTAAGCCTGGAACTCAGGGCAGGTACTGCCTCTTTGCCTAGCACTAGCATAAGGGGTCCACGAACTTGTAACACCCTTCACCCCTGCCTAGACCTGTATGTGATTCAGCACCACAGGCCCTCGTTAATGCCAAGCCCCCTAAGCTGGGAACTCAGGACTATCTGCACCCAAACCAATCTTGTGGGTTTAAAAAATCACCCCTCCCCCAAAGCTGGTAACTCAGGGCAGGCACTGCCACTTAGCCTAGGTACTGGCGTAAGGGGTCCATAGACTTCTAACGCCCTTCACCTGTGCCTAGACCTATGTGCACCAATTCAACAGGGTAGGTCTTCATTATCATCGGACAACAGGGCATATACCTGAAGCCTATTTTCAAATGCAGCAGCCAAGGGAAAATTGCAGATTCATGACATTTGACACCACCCTGCCCATTAAATAGGGTCCTCACCCACCCATATCAGAGGCCTGAGGGCTGGTGATATCACCCATTCCATCTAGCCACCCACAACAGGGATCTGAGAATAAGTTCTAAGATTTATGTGGGACACTGTTTTCGTTCTGGATTGACACAGAGTCCAGAGGCCATGCTTTCTGGGGTTCCTCCAGTCTCAGTCAAACCACTTTTCTCCTGTTCCGTCAGGGACTCTCTGTTTTGTTCCCTGTCAGGGTGGTAGCCAGGCACCATCTAGTTCTTCTAGTCTCAGGCTGATGTAGTCTCCGGTTTTTGTGGCCCTTTCTGTCTCTTGAGCTAATACTTTCCTTGTGGCTTTGGTGTTCTTCATTCTCCTTTCTCCAGGTGGGTTGGGACCAATTGATGCATCTTAGATGGCCACTCGCTAGCTTTTAAGACCCCAGATGCCACTCACCAAAGTAGGATGCAGAACATTTTCTTAATAAACTTTGTTATGCCAATTGACCTAGATGTCCCCTGAAACCATGGTCCCCAGACCCCTGCCCCTGCTACTCTGTCCCTCGAAGTGTTTGAATTCGAAGTGTTCTTAGCTTTGGTTTAGTCCAGTTTTGCTGACTTCCCACGTACTGTGTGCTGTCCTTCCCTTCACCTAAGATAATTCTTGTCTACTATCTAGTTAGTGAATAACCCTCTCTCTCTCCCTCCCCACCCTCGTAACCATCAAAGAATGTTTTTTTCTGTGTTTAAACCTTTTCTTGAGTTCTTGTCATAGTGGTCTTATACAATATTTGTCCTTTTGTGACTGACTAAATTCACTCAGCATAATGCCTTCCAGATTCCTCCACGTTATAAGATGTTTCACGGATTCATTGTTGTTCTTTATAGTTGGGTAGTATTCCATTGTGTGAATATACCGTAATTTGTTTATCCATTCATCTGTTGATGGGCACCAGGTTGTTTCCATCTTTTCGCTATCATGAACAGTGCTGCAGTGAACATGGGTGTGCATATATCTATTCGTGTGAGGGCTCTTATTTCTCTAGGATATATTCCAAGGAGTGGGATTGATGGATCATATGGTATTTCCATTTTCAGCTTTTTAAGGAAGCGCCAAATTGATTTCCAAAGTGGTTGTACCATCTTACATACCCTGTAGCAGTGTATAAGTGTTCCAGTCTCTCCACAACCTCTCCAGCATTTATTATTTTGTGTTTTTTTGGATTAATGCTAACCTTGTTGGGATGAGATGGTATCTGATTGTAGTTTTGATTTGCATTTTTCTAATGGCTAATGATCATGAGCATTTCTTTATGTGTCTGTTAGCCGCCTGAATGTCTTCTTTGGCGAAATGCTTGTTTATATCCTTTGCCCATTTTTTAATTGGGTTATTTGTCTTTTTGTGATTGAGATTTTGCAGTATCTTGTAGATTTTAGAGATCAGATGCTGATTGGATTTGTCATAGCCAAAACTTTTTTCCCAGTCTGTAGTTTGTCTTTTGACTCTTTTGGTGAAGTCTTTTGATGAGCATAAGTGTTTGATTTTTCGGAGCTCCCAGTTATCTAGTTTCTGTCCTACTGTTTGTGCATTGTTACTTATGATTTTTATTCTGTTTATACCATGTATTAGGGCTCCTAGCATTGTCCCTATTTTTTCTTCCATGATCTTTATCATTTTTTGATTTTATATTTAGGTCTTTGATCCATTTTGAGTTAGTTTTTGTGTATGGTGTGAGGTATGGGTCTTGTTTCAGTTTTTTGCAGATGGATATCCAGTTATTCCGACACCATTCTTTAAAGAGACTGTCTTTTCCCCAATTAATGGACTTTGGGCTTTTGTCAAAATCAGCTGCTGGTAGGTGGATGAATTTATGTCTGGATTCTC